CGTCTGCCCCTCGTCCATGCTGAAGTAAAGGCGGCCCTCTGCCTCGCTCTGGGGTATGGCCATAGGGAAGGGGTGGTCAGGGAGAGACATGAGTTTGAGGGGATCCTTCATGGGCCAGGGCTGAGGTCCCCACTGCTTTTGCAGGAAGAAAGGAGAACAGGAGATTTGGAGGCACATGGGGGACCCGGGGAGGAGGATGCTTCTTGGTCTCTGATGAAGACAGCAGGCTGCTGGGAGTCCTGCGTCTCCACTGCAGGAAGCTAGGACTCGGGAAGGGAGGCGATTACTCACCGGCAGGATAAGATAATGTTTGACTTTCTGCAGGTGGCACAAAGAGAGGACAAAGCCTTGTGGATTCCGTTGACTCTCCCGGACCAGGAACAGGCTGCCAGGAGAGAGGGCGACATTAGCCGAGGACACACGGCTGCCACCTTCACCCAGGGTCTCTCTTACCGCTGGGCCTGCTGCTCTGCCCAGCCCTGCCCCTTACCCGTCTACCAGGCCCTGCTGTGCAATGAGCCGCTGGCTTTCCTCGCGGGAAATGCGTCCATGGAACCATGGTTGGGTGCGATGGATGGCTAGGGTGAGGGAGACAGATGGGGAGTCACTCCGGGGAGGGGATCCTCATACTAACCACCCCCACCAGAAATGCTCAGAGAAGCCACGCAGCCCCACCCCCGGGGATGCTGGCCCTCGCCCACCTGCACTGAGGCTCGTGCCTGAACATGGGGTGGGAAGGCTGAGACGGTGGTTCGTCTTCTTCTGCAGAGCAGAGGGGGACACGGTGGGGGTGGGGATTTCAGAGCGTAGCTGGGATATTACCCTGTCCCCTCAAGAATGTAGAGTCCTTTTCTGCAGCTGGGGGCCTCCCCTCACCCCTCTCTTCCTCCCACTCCATGGAAACCCATATGGAGAGACAGTCCCTAGTCCAAACATGCAAGGTGCAGGCCCCTTACCCTCCAGGCATGGGCCTCCTCCAGGGCTACACTCAGAGCCTCCCGGGGGTTTTCAATGACACGCCCAGCATGGCCGGAGAAGTCCATGGCCACCAGGGTGTTATCCGAGACACTCCTCTGCAAATGGGATGGGACAGGGAGGGGAGGGGTCAGAACAAGGCCCAAGTATCCCTGGGATAGGGCCTGGGTGCCCACCCCTGGCTAATGCCCCTGTGCACACTCACCAGGGGTGGGGACCCCACGCAGGACGGGCGCAGGTGGCGAGACTGTGCCTGTTGATAATTCTTATACAGCTGCACCCCATACTGAGGAGCAGGGAAAGAAAAAGGGCCAGAGGTCAAGCAGGTGCCAGAGTCTGGGCTGTGATACCCGCCCAGACCAGGCCTCCCCAAGAGCAGGACTGCATCTCTGCCCCTGGATAAGGAAGTCCCTGAAGCCAGAGCTGGGACTCCAGCCTTGGACCAAGAATTCTGAAAGATCGAGGCCGCGATGCCCCCTCTGGAGACTTCCTCAGAGCAGAGCTATCACTCCTCCCTCACGCCAGATCCTGTGTGTGTGGGGGCAGCCAGACCCCACGCCACTCCCAGGGCCTCACCTTAAAGAGGCGGAAGGCAGCTAACCAGCAGGTTCGGCTCTGCTCATCCTCACTGCAGAAGATGCGAAGCCCCTTGTGGCCATTTCGAAGCTTGTTCGGCTGTGGGGAGAGGAAACTGGCTGGTTCCATATCTTTCTGCCCTTAGGACCAGATGTCTGCCTCCCGTCCCCACGGGGTGCAGGGAGAGGAGTCTGGGTGTCCCAGAGGGAGCTCAGAAGCCCCAGGTAGGATCCTGGGGACTGAGCAGCTCCCACTCCCTCCCAGCCAGGCCAGTCTTCACCTTGATACAGAAGCCGAAGTCGGTGGGCAACCCGTAGAGCTTGCGGCCCTGTGTCACCACATACACGTTGGACTCGTTCACGTCTGCTACGTATTGCAGGTGCCTTGGATCCTGTGCAGCACAGGTGAACAGGACTTGATACAGGTAGACCCTAACCTCGGATTACTGCCCCCGCTCCAAGCCAGATGCAGAGATTTCAGGCCCAGAGAGGGGCAGAGAAGTAGAGCCAGTACTTAAACTCAGTTCACCTGCCCTCCGCACCACTACCTCGGGGCAGATAAGCTGGGCAGGAAAGAGGAGCAGCTGAGGGCCCAGGGGGAGAAAGGTCTAGGAGTTCCAATAGGGAAGGGGCAACACCTAGAAGGACCAGGATGCCGTATCAGAGGGGCTGGGGCTGTCACCCTCAAGGCCTCACCTTGGAGGTGCCCTTGGTGGAGTAATAGAGGCCAGACCGGCGCAGGAAGCAGAAGAATCGTTTCCAAAGCTTGCGTCCTGATCCTCGCAGCTGCAGGAAGCCCTGGATCTCTGGGAAGCTGCCTGCATTCAGGAAGTTCTGAGGCCAGAGGAGAAGAAGAAGAGCGTGAGAGGCCTAGAGGGACACACGGACGTGCGCGCGCGCACACACACACACGCGCACACACAAGTCTTCACAGGACCCGCCTTTATGAGAGGAGGTGTTCCACATGTATTTATTATCCCCATTTAATAGATGAAGAAACTGATGCTCAGGCAGAGAAAGTGACATTTCCACAGTCATTTAGGACTGTGCTGGGCTTACACAGAGGGGAGACACAAGACGTAAAGGCCAAGAAGCAATGGGATCCTGGGGAATTGTGACTGTGCCATGAAGTTGGGGGGTCCCCTCACCTGGATGAGGTCTTCATGGGATATGTCCGTTTGTGTGTCCAGACAGCTGGAGACCATCTTTTCTGGGAACAGGGAGTGCTGGGGCACAAAGGAGTCAGGAGTCAGGAACCTAGTGTCCAGCTTGGGGATCGTGGTGTCCTACTGCCCAGAGCTCCCCACCCCCCACACTCACTGGGGAGCTCTTGAACAGTTCATACTTGGCGAAGTTTTTCCGGAAGACAAAGCGGCTGTCTCCGCCAATGGGCCAGGCAGCCTGCACTTCTACCACCGACTCATGGTCCTCCAAGCCCCGCTCTGGGATCAAGGGTAAAAAGCAGGGTCAGTGGAGATCAGCCAGGCCTCCTGGATGAGCTACCTGCCTAGCCCAAGTGGGAAGCATTTCCTCCTGGCCCAGGCAGACCCTGCGCTCCAACTCACCCAGCGCTAGATGGGGGTGGCACTCCACCAGCCCCCAGTTCTCATCACTGAGGGCGTGAGCTCGCTGTACCAGCATTTCACATACGTAGCGCACCGTGGCGCCTGCTGCCACCTCCACTGACCGGCAGGCCCCGTCTTCGCTGTACACCTTTACTACCTGCACCCCAAGAATTGCAAATGACTTGAGAAAGGGCAAAGAGTGGTTCTTTCCCTTCTCCCACCTGCTATACCCTCAGGGACCCCTGACCACCTCCACAGAAGTGGCACTACATCCACTCCAGTCCCAGAGCACCCCCATATCCCTGCCTTCTCTTTCCCGGGACAACTCACATGGAGGCAGCTGGCATCTCGAGGGAGCAGCCCCCTTGCACTGGAGGGCCCCCCGAGAATGGGGGTCTGTGAAGAAGGACTGCAGAGCTCAGGGAAGGGATTGGGGATGGAGGGTAGAGAGGTGGTCCGCAGCTCCTCCTCTCGAAGAAGTTTCCTGTGTGGGGTGGGGAGGAATTGACTGTAAGCTTCTATGTATACTCAGCATTGACTGCTCTCCCCCTCCCCGCCCAGGCCTCCTCAGCCCAGTCACCCCATTGTACCTGCTGTTTGGAATGGGCAGAGGTTGAGACCTCTTCACCTCCCCAGGCAGAGGGACATCGGGAGGTGGGGGAGTCCCAGGAGGGGTCCCAGGGGCTGGGTACAGGTCTTCCGGGGAGCTGCTGCTATGAGGTGGAGACAGACCCAGCTCCATGACATCCGCGGGAAAAGAGGGGGCTGAATGCAGCTGCTCCTGTGCCCTTGTCCTGGAGAGAGAGACCAAGAAGTCTCAGACCTCTTGACTTCACACAGCTCTCAGGCGCCCCTCAGAGTTTACCCAGCACTTCATTACTTACTCCCCCGCTCTAACTGGAGTTTCCCTGGAGCCTTTGGGGAAAGAATGAGCCCATTTTACAAAAAGGGACACCAGGTACCCGAGAAGGAAGCATTCTTGTTTCTATCACAGGTGAACCGGGGAGTGGAACCCAGTGTTGGGACTTCTAGTCCAGTGTTCTTCCTTTAGCCCCAAGTTGCCCAAGGCAGGAGCTAAGAGGGTCCCCCCACCACCACCATAAGCCAGGCAGCAGCAAAACAGACTCCAACGACCCACAGACTGGGGCTCGAGCTCTCAGTGTCAGGGCAAAGTGCCGCCCCTCTGTCTCTGAGTGTGAAGCACTCATTTCTCTGGGCTCTGCCCCAGGTTTTCCCAAGGCTTTGTTGCCAGACGTGGTTGCCCGATCCTGTTGTGGCAACGCCTGCCCAAGTGCTGAGTGATGAGAGGTGAGAAGGAGGTGGGGAAGGACAGGAACCAGGGGGCAGGAGGTGGGTTCAGCTGCAGTGGGAAGGAGAGGGCAGCCCCTAAACCTGTGTGCCCTCCCTAGGCCCTTCCTACTGCCAACTTGCTTGAAGCCTCAATGCCAGGGCTACCTCCTCCAAGAAGTCTTCCTGAATTTTCCACATTCAGACCAAAAGGCTCCCAGGGCACTGTCCTGGAGCCTCCTGGACAATTACTGTGCACCTGTCTTATCCACCTATTGGTCTGAAGACATCAGGCTCTGCTAGGCAGGACCAGGGTCTTCCCCAAGTCTCAATACCCACAGGTACTGCATAGGGACCCAGGATGAGTAAAGATAAGATAAATGGAGCAAAGATGCCCACTGGGGCTCCTCCTCCACAGAAACCAAGACCCCTTGGGGGGTGAGGGGAGCTGAGACCTAGGAAGGCCTGGGAGACCATGTCAATTCCAGTCCCCTGCCTGCTCTCTGGCCAGTGTTGTTAGGCTGCCTGGGGCACCTGGGATTGACCCCCCTCCCCCAGAATGGAGCAGGCCCCTGACCCTTAAGTGAGGGCATGAAGGGATTTGGGGGACAGGTGTGTCAGGGTGGGGCAGGACAGCACTGCCTGGGGCTCTCCATTCAACCTTGACTCATCTGCACAACTTCCTGGCTTAGGAGAAACACAAACAACCCTGCCTCTACCCACCCCCCTCCACTATCACCACCCACCTACCAGCCAGGAAGGAATGGGGAGGGGGAGGATGCAGGGCCTGCCTGAGGCTCATTTGACATCATCTCTTCCTTCCCACCCTTGGCCTACTTCCACTTCTCAAGTCCTGGTGGGACCTTCATCTGTCCCCAGTCCTGTAGTCCCCTCACCCAGGAAAGAGAGAAGAAATGCCTGGCGTGGATTCAGAGGCCCACCTGGAGTGGAGCCAGCCTCCCAGTTGTCCCCCTCACTCATCCAAAGAAATCTTGCAATGCTCTCTTCTGCCTGGGGCCTCCCAGGTTTTATTCTGCTGCTCTGCACCCCTAGCACCCAACACTCAGCAGACCCCAGGGACTCATCCACATCACCCCTGGGGGACAAGGATTCTCCTAACACATTCTCCTAGTGTTCTGGCCAGAAGTGTACCCTAGGAGGAGGAGTGGAAAGTCGAGACACCCAAGAAGACAGACAGGCAGATAAGGAAAGGCCCAGGAAGGAGTCAGGGAAGGGAAAACACCCACCACCCACCACCCACCACCCACAGACAGCCGTGCACCAAAACACAGTGCTCCCACTCTCAACCCTCCCTAACCTCTTTCAAACGGCCCAGGTGCCTTTATTCCAGGGAAGACAAAAGAGAGGGACTTCCTGCAGGGACTACCCCTCCAGGAAGCCAGACCAACAGTGGAGTGTCCGTGTCCACCACAGTGGAAAGAGGAATCAGGGCAGTGTTTGGAAGGGGCGATTTATATCAGATTAGACTCTGGCCTCAGAAGGTGGGAGGGTGGACTCCAGACTTGAGTTTTGGTCTTCAGATCCCTCTACCATGCCCTCTAGATCCTTTAAAGCAAAATTAGAGTGGCACAGTCAGGACCAAAGTGATGAGATGGGAGGAGGACTATGGTCCTAGCTGTGGGGCCTGGACAGCCTCCTTCCCAAGAGATCTGAAGCTTTCAAACTGGAGCCCTAGGAAATTCTCTTCTGTTGAAGAAGCCAAACCCCCAAATCAATCTGTTCCCTCATTGCTGCAAGTCCAAGCTACTGGCTTCCTCCACCGCCTCTCCAGCCCCCGTGGCTTCGGCCCCACCCTCTTTCCCGCCCTCCCAGCCTCCTGCCTTCTTGTTTACTTCCTGAATCTTGCCCCACCTGGCTGGCCCCAAGGGCGGGTGGCAGGGCCCAGTGTTCAGGGCCGATAGAAAACAAGGCCACCTTCGGCGCTTCCCAGGCTGAGGGGAGGGGCTGGCATGGCAGAGGCTTGGGCGGGGGCCTGGACGTGGTGGGAAAGTCAGGGTCTAGCCCAGTATTCCACGCCCCGCCCCCAACAAGATTGATTGTAGGGGGACAGGCTTAACCTTTGGGGGAGCTCTTAAGGTGCAGGGCCCAGGTGAGGAGGCGGGGAACCCCTATGTGACCCGGAGTTGGAGGAAGGGCCCCGACCCTGAGGCCCCGCCCACTCCCTCTCAGGATAAAACGCCCAATGGGACGAGGGGGGGCAGCTCTTTTAAAGTTTAATTTGGTAAGAATGCTAGAGTGTCTGTGGAGTTAATCATTACAGGCTGCTTGCCTTCGTGGAGGGCCCCCCAGCAGGGTATCGCGAGAGAGGGGAGAGCAGAGTCCAGGACAGCCAGACCTAGAGGGGGCATTCTTGAGTGGCAGTGGGGTTGAGACGCCTTCCAACGGCGAACAGGTGCATTCTCCATCCCCAACGTGCCAGGGAGACCCAGACCAGGACTCGAGTCTTTTTCCAGCCTATTCATACAGACAACACCACCTGCCCGCCCGTCCCCCAACACGCGCGCACATCCTGAGGCCTTGCTGTGCCGCAGACCACCTCAGCCAGCATCCAGGCCTCCGGCCTTCCGAGCCCACTTCGTTCTGAAGCTAGGGGGGACCCCGGGCCTGCCCTGCCGCCACCTTCCCATCCGAAGACAGGACCCTGTGTTTCTGAGCACGGATACAGTCCTGAGAGACGGGAACTCTACCAATTTAGAGAATCCTTCTCTTTAACTGCCTTTCAAATTAGAGACCCCCCCCCGCCTCCCCGCCCCCCGCCACCAGCCCGCCGCGGAGACGTCTATCTTTAGTAAAGATTTGGGGAGACTCAAACTGGGGTAAAACTAGGCTGAGCCAAGGGATGGAGTCATGGCAGCTTCCTAGGTATTTGGACCCCGCTCTTAGCTCGCCTTCTGGGAATGGGGAGGGGCTAGTTTCAGCGGGAAAGCCGCGTCCTGGAGGGGAGAATCTTAGATCCAATTTCCCCGTCCCCATCAGCTAGTTCGTCCGGGGGCTTGAGTGGGGTGGATACAGATAGGGAAGGAAGGAATGGAGGAGAGGACAGAAAATGAG